AAAACTCAACTAACATAAATCCCCTCAGGAGAGTTTCCCAAACAAGGCAAGACTGACTCATCTCTGAAACAGGAAGGCAGCACCACGTCCAACAGACATGGCCGCCCAACAGACATGGCCGCCCAACAGACATGGCCGCCCAACAGACATGGCCGCCCAACAGACATGGCCACGTGACTACGCGGTCTCCCATCTGTCCTTCTAAGGACCCATTTATTTCCCCCCACAAAGGTTGCTTCCCTGAAGCGTCATTTCTCTCCCCCTCCTCAAAGTTGCTTGTTTTCCTCAACGGCCCTTCTCCTTCCCTTCTGCTATAAGATGGTACATACTCGATGGCAGCAGGTGCATTGTGGGTAAGGCGCTGGATTTCCCCATGCCTGACTACGGTTTGAGTACCAGACCCAGTGCTTTGAGAATCACCCTGGCATGTGTGTGTGTGTGTGTGTGTGTGTGTGTGTGTGTGTGCGTGCATGCCCAAAGTCCCGAGAAGAGAGGGGAGGAGGAGAGATTGTGGTGTGGCCACCCCCGTGGAGAGTAATTTCTCACTTTCCCTCTCTGTCCATCTCTGTCGCTCTCCAGAAAGCACACGCACCCTATGGGAAAAACTTGAAAAGAAAATATGGTAAATATGCCTCAAATTCACATTTTTCTGCAAATTCCACCTATGTACATTAAAAACAAAAACAAAAACAAAACAAAAAACCCTGTCTTTTCTCTTGCTAATTTGTCCTTTGTCAATTTAATTTGCAGGTCTCTGGGTCAGCCCTGTGGCCTCGTTGGTTAAGTAAGCTAGATACCATAAGGTCAACCGTGCAGTTCGAATCCCGGACCTGAAATCCACCAGGTATATGTGTGTGTGCGTACCCCAAATCCCAACAGGGAGGAGACATGGCGAAGAAGGGATTGCAGCACATCACACCCCTCTGGGGAGTGTGTTCTCCCGCTCCTTCTCTGTCTGTCTCTCCCTGGCAAGCACATATGCCCTCTGGCAAAAACAAAGAAAACACAACAGAAAAGCAAATCTGCAAGCCCTTAAACACAATCCAAACAGGGTAGAGGAAGTGTTTCCTCCCTAACAACGTGTATATGTGTGCATGTCTGTGTGTGTGTGTAAAAATATTCATATATACCTACTATATGTGTGTGTATACACAAGGGCATCTCAAAAAATGTGTGGAAGAATGTGAAGTCTGAGTTTATTTTGAGGTAAAAACGTTTTTGTTTTTTTTTTTTGGAGAGGTTTTTGCTATAGGGCGCGTGCGCTCGCCAGACAGACAGAGACATAGAGACAGAAAGCAAGAAATCTCCCCCCAGGGGAGATAGCCACATCGCAATCCCTTCTCCTCCATTCTCCTCTCGGGATCTTGGGCACGCACGCACATGCGCCCGGCGTGAGTTTTAAGCCACCGGGTCTGGGACGCGAACCGCGGTCGACTACGTGAGAGTCCAGTGACACAGCCATTACGCTAACTGCTGATTCCCAGAGGTAGAAACTTTTTGAAATCCATGCATAGCTTTTTCCTAACACACATTTTCCATGAACTTAAATTTTTTTTTTCAGAAGGTGCATGTGCTCACCAGAGACGGGGGGTGGGGTGTGCGGGGTGGGGAGAAGAAGAAAGCAAACTATTCTCCTCCATTTCCCCCTCCTTTCTAGATTTTAGGCAGGCATGCACATGTACTTAGCATCTTTCAAGCTGCTGGGTCCAGGACTTGAATCCCAAGGTCAGTTATATGAGATCCAGCTCCCTTAACCAACCAGCCATAGGTTGACCCTCCATGAACTTTATGAAGATTCCCCCCCCCATAGCATATTATTGCCTAAATACTGTAGGTAACTGTAACACAGTGATATTTGTGTATCTAAACATATTTAAACATAGAAAAAGTACAGAAAAAAGACAATAGAAAAGATAAAAATAGTACACCTGGACAGGGCACTTACCATGAATAAAACCTGCAGGACTGGAAGTCTCTCTGGGTGAGGCAGTGACTGAATAGTGAGTGTGAAGGGCTAGCACATTACTGTACACTACTACAGACACCACAGACTTTACAGACACTGTATGCTTAGGCTACACTAAATTTATGATAGTTTTCTTTCTTCTTTTAAGAATTATTTTTTTATTTAACTTTCTTTCTTTCTTTCTTTCTTTCTTTCTTTCTTTCTTTCTTTCTTTCTTTCTTTCTTTT